GAATATGAAGATTGTAACAACTTATAAAATGTTTGTAGTATTGTGACAGAAAAATAAATAGACTCTATTTTTCCTACGCCTGAAGACAAATAAAAAACAGATACTTTAAGCATCTAAATAAGTTTTGCAGAAGTCTTTTAAATAGATCTGATGAAAAGATCATAATGAATAGGGTCGAAATTCAGACAAAATCTGAATAAAATCCAAATAAATTTTCAAGTTAGATAAATCACTTTATTTGTTTGCTGACTATAATAAATCACACTAGATCTTATGAGCATCAAGGTAGTGCGAGCAAACTTGCGATATGCATCGACGAATATTGATGGAGCATTAATGTACTTTCGGAGAGATAAAAAAAAGTGCTGCTTTATTGCGATTAGTAGCAGATTCACTTTTCCACTAGCAACATCTATATGAAATCTTGAAAAAAAAATGAATAAATCCAGAATATTTTTCATACGATTTAGTCAAGAACTACTTCGATGAAAATAATAGAGAGTAGTAAAAACAAAACGTTTTCAATCTAAAACACAAGTTAACAGAAACTTGCCCTAAACATGAAGTATCTCATGCGATGATGAATTGAATTTAGGTGCTAACAAAGTGTGAGGCATAGAAAGCTGCAAGTCCGAATCCTAAAAAAACCGTGAAATTGCAGCTCCCTCGTGAGGTATTTAGCGTTTGACAGCATCCCATAGCTTTTCTGTATGAATATTCTGGTGACTACAATCTAGTTAATCTTAGTTCTTCCATTCTCGTTCAATACCTGAACATTGCAATAAGTAAACTAACCAAAAGTATACTAACAATAGCCATATAAATAACAAGTAAAACAAATATAGTATAACCAGTTGGACGGTAATTGTCTGAATAAAGAAGAATTTATTATTTTAAGAAAAAAGATAATATTCTTGTTTTCTTACTTTCAAATTTACTTAATGAACTTAATTCTCCAAATATTTCCCAATAAGCAAGATGTATAATGTCACGTGGTAAATGCCAAGTAAATTTGTTCGCACCATAAATAAGACTATAAGCTGATACACCAAATCCCAAAATAAATACAGTTAACATAAGCATATAAAATTTCAAATCATGTACCTTACAAAAATTTTCAATAGAAAAGAAAAATAATTAAAGAATTTCAATGAGAAAATTTTCTTACCATTTCACCAATCATAACAAGTTTAGGACCAAGTCGTTTAATAGCTGCAAATATATCTAATGAACGTATAAACCAAAGTGATAAATCAACCGATAAAACAATACGTGCTGCACAAAAACATTCTGTGAATGGTATAAATCGCAATATAAAACCAACATAAAAAAGCATTGTAGCTAGAAAATCTAGTGTATTCCAAAAAACTTCAAAGTATGCTGTTATTTTTTTACGGGCAGAATGTGCTTCGAATGAGAAGAGCTATAAAGAAATTGATATCGAAAAACAAAAACAAAAGTCGTATTCAAATTACTTGTCGAAGTTCTTCACAAAGTAATGTCGTAACCCAAACAAAAAGTATATATTCTGTAAAAGCTGGTCGATCATGTTTTTGAAATCCATATGGAACTGTTATGTTACTTTTAGCTTCATCATTTTTCACCGATGGACTATTATTATTACCATCTTGTTTTTCAGGATCATTAGTTGATCCACATACATTCGTTTGAAATTCGTACAGAGGAAAAAAATCACATAATAACACATAAGAAAAAAGTAATAAAAATATCACATGAAAATACTAGAAAAGAATATGAACAATTCTTTATATAGAAACAATAATATTCGAATGAAATACATACTAAGTTATATAGATATTTAACATATGGAGCACGTAGAAATCTTAAAATATTTCCAAAATATAGAGAAATTCGAGCGGTCACACTTAATTAAAGAAAAAAAAACATTCTCTTTGTAATTAATATTAACATTCCTACATTAAAGATTATTAAATATTCCAAATGTTAGTTTAGTTAATTAATAGCAATGTTGCAACATATATAATGCGTTAATATGTGTAAATTATTATTTTTTTATTTACTGTTCACAACAGCCGACAGCAACGAAATGACCAGGAGCAGTATTCGTATCTGCAATGCCATGCATTAATCTCATTTGAGTACCATCTGTTCCCCTAGATAAATAATGAGGCAAGGTAAAATAAAGTTTGTGTACATATTTTACTGAAGAAACAAAATATTAATATAAGTGTTTTTAATATCATATTTATGTATTAAACAATAGTTTGGTTGTTCTATTTGTTAAAAATTAGATTCTTTTTGTTTTTGAAAATAAAATAGAATTAAAACTTTTGTTTATTCGATTATAATTAATGAAACATAAAATAAATTAATTTGACTTGGAATATCTAATAATTCGTGAAACACAATCTAAAAGGAGCGTTGAAGTATAGAGACTGAAATTTGAATCTCACCTTCCCCACCCAGTGTGCTTTTTTGCAAGCCAAGCAGATAAGCTACTTTCTTGCTTAGAAATGATTGAATATGACGTAGAAAAGCATTTTTCGACGAAAAATGCCTGAGTAGGATGTTTTCCTTCTGCACTGATTCCAAAAATACTATTTTGAAGCTACTGTGCAGGCCAGAAATATTTGCGCTAAAAGTATCTTTTTACGAATGCAGACAACTCAAATTGAGGATTCAGAAATTGTACTTGAATCCATTTTTTCCACCATATGGTCACCGGACCAATCAAACTCCCCTCGACAAAGATATGGACACTCAATGAATCAAACTACATTATTGGCATATTAGGCAAACTAATACTCTTCTTTGTAAAGTTATTTTTTACGTGGCTCTTTGAGGGATCACTGTGGTGGATCAAGAATTAAAATAATTATACAATTCATTGAAAAAATTATAAAACAAGAAAATATAATATCTCAAATTTTCTTAATATCACTTTCTTGTTTTTTCTTGAACGTCTATAATGGACGAACTATCGCATAATATAAATGATAACTATTTTTAAAAAATCGATCTAAAACAATACTTTTCCGTCGCAAACAGTGTTTTTGTTGGTAGAGTTCGTTGTGATAAATTTGATTTACGATTTGAATCCTAGACATTTAAAACATAATATAAGAAAGCAAAAAGTAAATAAAACGAAAAAGAATACATCTTTAAATTTTTTTTTGATTATTTGTTTTAACTAATTCATCTTGATATTGAAGACAACCACTATACCAAATCATAAATGTCGAAAAGATGATTTTCATTTCACTTTCTTGTTGATGAATATATCCATACCTAGATTAAAATATTGGATATTTTATTGAAACAAAAACTTTTAATTTTCAATCTACCAAATATTATTGAGGACTTCTTGTACTGCCCGCTGAGAAATAAATTTTTTAGCGTCAGCTTCTGCAGCTAATTGTAACCATGTGACATTACCATAGACTGGTATACGTCGTATAAGTGCTTTTATACATGTATGAGAATTAACTTGATAAAATCGATCAAGAATTTGTACAGCTAAATTTTCGAATTCATCAACCATTTGTTCATAACTATTATCATTGTCTTTACAAGCACGTTTTCTATAAATTAATGTAGCAATTAATGCAACATCTAATGAAAATGTTTTTTTTTACATATGCACATGTACAGTATGTATATATATATATACGATAGAAAGAGAAGGTTACTTACAGATTTTATTTTTGCCACGAGACCAAAATAACAGAGTAAACTCACGTTTGTCTTCTATTACAGACCAAAGAGAAAAAGTTCTTTGTCAATATCCAAATAATAATTGGAATTAACTATAAAAGATTCAATTGAAAAAGAAAATATGCTAGCATTATATATAAAACATAATTCAGACCAATTATATTTTGAATATTGTCTCATTTCTATCATAAGCCCAGTCCTGGACTAGAGCCCATTAGGTTGAAACTTTTTCGAATTCGGATCCGTTTCACAGAAAAATTTCAGACTCAGCGTCAATCAACTCCGAGATCAATCTGATTGGCTCTATTCTGAACAAAAGTAGCTGCCCCCCCCCCCCCATCATAAAGAAGTGCTACTATTCTTTATGATATTGCGCCAATGTTTTCAATGTATCCGCGTGATAATACACCCTGATCGTATGTGCTAGAGTTATGATTTAGATGTTATCTCTTTCTTGTGATCCCCTTATCTCAGCCATGTTTGCAGAAATATTTTCATAGAACTCCTCAGTCAAAATTTCATTGTCGTATAGTCGATGAAGAGCAAATGTTAGTTTTTAGTAAAATGAATCTTTTCCACGATAACTTTGATCAGCTTTTTTAACACTTCAGTAGAAAGTTCCCATGAGACGACAAGTCTGTTCTGAAAATTTTATAGTCACAGCATAGGATGAAGTCGAGTTAGTGGTACGACATGAGTTCATGGTCTCAGAGCATGCTAATTACTAAAAGCTTGACTANCTTCAGAAAAAACCCTAATCATATTGCCGTGTGATTGGAGGATTTCGAAAATACCGTAAAAAAGTGCTATTTCAGAGTAATTTTCTTTTATCTTTTGGGTTGAATTACGGTGCTATGCGCTGATTTTTTGGAAAGCTCGTTAGGTGCATCTTGTGCAGTTTTTCTTGCTCTATCGAATGCATATAAAATTATTGTCGGCCCGAATCTCTTTTGATATATTTTTTTAATTGAAGTACAAAAAAAAACAGCAAAAAATTTTAAAAATTTTTCTGTCGTTTTTTATATATTGACCTGGCGTAGATATGTTTAAGAATTATTTAAGGAAAATCAAAATATACAGTTTTCTAGAGCGAAACTTGCTCTATCTTTTGAGGTATGATTCAATTTGGTTTGATGGAATTTTAGAAAAAAACTAATCATATACTAAAAACAAAAAAGTATTATCATTAATTTAGAACTTCAAGGAGATACTTTCAATGTTTTTTACACATCTATTCAAAAATCACTCGGGGAAGGCTAAAACTTTGGATTTATAGGTTTCTTTACATGCTCTTTCATTTGCAATGATAAAACAGGTAGGTCAATTTTTTTCGTATGACGCGATTTCTCGAGTGAGTCATGGACTGTCTCTTAAAGTACATTAAAGTACGAAAGTATAAAAGTACGATGTTTCCCCCTTGACTTGAAGACTTAAGGGTACTCTCTAATATAGGGCTTGAAGACCTAAGCGTGCTCTCCTAATACAGGACTTGAGGACTTTAGGGTATCCTCCTAATATGGGACTTGAAGACCGAAGGGTACTCTCTAATATAGGACTTGAAGATCTAAGGGTACCCTCCTAATGCAGGACTTGAGGACTTAAGGGATCCTCCTAATATGATTATTTAAGACTATGTCAACATATCTACTTTAACTTTAACTGGTTAAGTTAAAGTTTAAAGTAATACTTTAAACTTTAAAAGTTAAAGTTTAAAGTATTACTTTAAACTTTATACTTTCTTAAAGTGTCTTTAAAGTTAAAGTAACACCCCTAATCCTGTATAGATATAAGCAAAAGCATATTTCTATTCTTCATATTGTTAAACAGTGAAATAAAGTCATTCTCAATCCCCAAAGAATAGCTTGAAGAATGGATATTTTTGATCGATTTGCCTACGGTCTGATTGATGGAAAATCGAAATCACATTTCTCAGTTGAAAAAGCGATTGTTCGATGTTTTATCATAATCAAACATTGGTTTTTAAGGGTGAGGGGGAGACACGGAGTTCGAATTCGAACTCAATTTTCTTGCGACTGAAGGGTAGTCTACAATAATTGAGGGTCTTCGCCTTTCGCAATATTTTCTCTAGTTTTCATAGATTTGGACCGAATATTTTCTCAGCGATGCAGTATTTGATTCTCCACAAAACCACATACATGTGGATGTCACAGGAATAAAAGCAAAAAGCGGTATTGTAGTAATGCTGCAAGCATTCAATATCAATAACTTCAAAACTCTAAATGCAGCTTGCTTATGTTTATGTATTGCCACATCAAGCTTCATAAACAAATTGTACCGTCTATTTTGTGACACTAGCATGAATTTTCGAACAAAATAGTGAATGAACGTTTCAAGCCAAGTTGTTCTGGCTCCCATATTCGCCCTATTATAGACTTCAGTAGCCGAGATTAAATACTAAGTATTTGTCAGTGTTTATGAGTCATTTAATCCAAAGCTTATAATCAAGTCAAAATAATGAAGTTAAACAAGATACGTGAGTTCCACATTTCAGCCTCTGAAGAACTGCATTAACAAACTTCTGTAGAGTTTCAAAAGCGCTATCTTATTAATGTTTTCTAGAATTTTCATAGCGCCACTTTACTGCACAAATTAAGCATTACTTATTGGTCTCCGATAAAAAATTGCGTTTTCATTGAGAGTTAAACGTGAAACCTTTTTGAAAGTGTGGAATCCATAACTATCAAAAATAACAGAGACATTGAGGAAACACTGGGAAGACCTCTATTCTGACTGGTCCCCTAGAAGTGCTTTGCAAATAGTTGGTATTGCATGGGTGTAATATTACAACTACAAAGTCTTTTATTTTATTTCATTTCTATGAGATACATCTTTTTATGACTTTGTACACAATCAAATGATCAATATTATTAAGAAAATCCCATCCGAATCCATGACAACTAGAGAAGATATGAAGAAAATACGGAAACCCTCATTCTTCATGTGTCACTGTTATATTAGCGGATCCAAAACCAACAGAAATGGACTTTTTGAAAAATGTTTCCGTACGAATAAACCCAGATCAACAACATGCATGGTTGGCAGCTGTGATACAAGCACAAATCGATATTCACATTGCTATGCTTATTCACACTTCGCGACATTCGCACTCACACCTTCATTGGCTGAATTCCCAGCATTCAGAAACTTGATAGATTCATAGCTGCATAGAGACAATTCTGAGTGATTGAGCAATATAAATAAAATACCTCAACGTTACTGCATCAGAGACCTGCGGAACTCTCATTCGTTGATCTTAATCAAAGAATTAGAGTGCTGTAAAATACATCAGCATATGAAGACACATCCTTTGGAGATAGAGAATTGTGTTTCAAACCACACAGACTGCAAATTTCAAACATCCATTTTCTGATTATTTTTCGGTGGAGCCGTCCACCCTAAGTGTTAGATTTTAATTCCATTTGTAATTCATTTCTTAGCTATATCTGTTGGTAATCTCTCTTTGTTGCGAAAATATATCAAGAATACATATAGCGATGATATAGAAAAATCCAATAGATTATGAAAAAGAAAGAGAGATCCGTAAAACAAAGCTAAACATAGAAGATCAAAAATGGAGGGTATTGTCCATCGCATATACTAATAAGTGAAAGAAAAAATATCGTCACATATACGAATTTGAGAGGAAAGGAAAAATCTATGATGCACGACTAACAACAAGAGAAGAGAAGGAAAACCAAAGTGCATAGGTATTATCCTAAACAGGAAAAATCCTTATGACTACATCTGAAGAACACTTAGGTCACATCACCAAGTTCTATTTCTACTGGCGCATTNGGAGGGTATTGTCCATCGCATATACTAATAAGTGAAAGAAAAAATATCGTCACATATACGAATTTGAGAGGAAAGGAAAAATCTATGATGCACGACTAACAACAAGAGAAGAGAAGGAAAAACCAAAGTGCATAGGTATGATCCTAAACAGGAAAAATTCTTATGACAACATCTGAAGAACACTTAGGTCGCACCACCAAGTTCTATTTCTACTGGCGCATTACCCCACTAAAGTAACGGGTGCATCAGGTTGAATGGCCGTGTTTTGCATTCCAAGTTTCATTCACTTAATATATTGTATTAAAAAAACAAAATATATCACAAGATACAGTGTGAAAAGCTCTATAATTTATACAGAATAAGTGTAAAAAGATGAAATAAGAAAAAACGATTTTATCTTGTACCAAAAAAAAATATCGTTTTCACACAGTTAAAATTTGACCTTTCAAAATGTTGGCTATTTGGAAAGCAAAAGTGCAGCTAGAAAAAAGCGGTCTTATGTAAATTGTAGAGCTTTTCGCGCTGCATCTTGTGATACATTTTAGTTTTTTAATACAATATATTAAATGAATAAAAATTGGAATGCAAAACGCGACCATTCAACCTGGTGCACCCGTTATTTTTAGGACAATATAGCTACAATTCAAACTGTCGTCTCAAACTACTCTAGAAGAAGACGAAAAGAAGTATTCTGTCTTTCACCTGCTTTGCGATATAGGATGCTGTCTAAAGATAGTGTCGAAGGCCCAATATCTTTCATATAGATATTACTAGCTATAACTCTGGAAAGGAAGCTGGTCTGGTTCAGAGTTCCTTCCGGTTAATCACTTAAGCTCGCCGCGCAAGTTGACTAAGCACATAGTAGCCACAAGGACTTTTGAGTATGTCAATCACGTAGTCAGAGAGGTGTCACATTTCCTAAAAATCAGAAATGCTAAAGAAGTGTAGGAAGATGTGGGAGATGCCAAACTATCTACCAATAGATGATTACATTGTGGATGTTCTCACGTGGGTTAGTGTTTTCTTCCACACTCACACTAAAGAGATGTGACTGTATGTGTTTCCGTGTGTGTTCGCATTTTTACCTTCATCCACACTCGTGACATGTGGTTGTGTGCTCGTGAGTGCTCGTGTTTCTTCTCTTATCCTCTCTATAGAGATGTTTAGAGATGTCGAATCTTCTGGGGAGATAGAAGGTTTTTTACTATTTTACTTATAACGGTCATCTTATGAGGAAAAAAGTACTCTACTAACCAATACAAGTTGAAACGAGCTGACAGTTTCCTCACGTATAGTTATACTCATGTGGAAAATAATGTGAAAATTTGAGTTCAAATTATTAGTATCGAAATAAAATGAAGCATATATTATCGTGAAAAACTACAATTATATTGTAATTCTGCAAAATAGCATAATTAATGACATATAGAACGACTTTAATATTTTGTAAACCTGATAACTCGATTTTCCCAAGATTATTTGAACTCGAACTTTCACATTATCTTCCACATGAGTATAACTATATGTGAGGAAAATATCAGCTCGTTTCAACTTGTATTGGTTAATAGAGTCATTTTTTCCTCATGAGGTGACCGTTATAAGTAAAATAGTAAAAAACCTTCTATCTCCTCAAAAGCAAGCCAGAAACCTGAACTTTTTTCACCATAGACATGGCTCACTAAGATGTACAAGATGCGCGAAACCTCGACTGAAAGGCGGATCAACACCTGGGAATGTTCCCTTGTCAGCGTAAAACTAAAATAGAAAATCTTCATGCTCTTCTCCCCAGGAAATGTGGCATCTCTCGTATCGATATTTCCAAGCATCTCCTAAGGAAAGAGTTTTTCGATTTATAGCCCGGGACCCCAGCCGGAGATGCATGTCTCACAGGAGATGCTGCATCTCCTATAGAGACGCAGCATCGCGCGATAAATTTGTTTTTTAGCAAAGACCCCGGCGGGAAATGCCGCATCTCAAAGCACATCTCCTTAGGAGATTTGACATCTCTCGACGAGACTCGGTATCTACAATAGATGCGGCATCTTCCTGCACTTCTTCAGCTTCTCCAATTTCCTGGGTATGTGACACTGGTGCGCAGTCAATGAACCATCGAATGGCAAACTATCCTACGAAGGCTAACTCTCAAAAACGTTAATTTCTATTAGCTCTTGATCTATCAATGCAGTTTTGAGGGAAATGAAGTTCGGTTTTGGGTTCCTCCCTCCAAAAACCAATGTTTGATTATGATAGAACATCGAACAATCGCTTTTTCAACTGAGAAATGTGATTTCGATTTTCCATCAATCAGACCGTAGGCAAATCGATCAAAAATATCCATTCTTCAAGCTATTCTTTGGGGATTGAGAATGACTTTATTTCACTGTTTAACAATGTGAAGAATAGAAATATGCTTTTGCTTATATCTATACAGGATAAATAGTTAAATATAGTGAAGAGGCTTGACACAAATGGCACTACATGTTAAGTTCAGTAGTTCAGTGGGTTGATGATGTAGCAAACTGACACTGAAACCCAAACACAATACCCACACTCACACCCCCGATATTTTGGTAGTACCATCATACTATGTTCATGCCTTCTTTCATGAAATTCTCAATCATATTATCTTAGTAGTTTGATTCTAATCTGTGGACTAATGAAAAGTAATGAATAGAATGGAAAAAAAGAAAGGAACATAATGATGTGAAAAAGAGACAACTTCGTAAAATAGAAACCGATAAAATCATTAAAATTTTGAGAGATGTATGCAACAAACGAAGATCACTCGTCACGTAACATTCTAATTTCAGATGTTTGAAAATAAGTTTTTCATTATTTCTGACATTGAGCAAAATAAAATGTTCAAACATTATTATTAATAGCGATAGCGATAATATTTATTTTATTGATTAAAAAAAATCTAAACTATTCAAGAAATTATTGAAGAATGATAAACATAAAAGAAATTATTATTATATATTAAAAAACAGCTGGCTTAAAATTAGATTATTGTTTCCAGTTTCTGAATACTTATTAAAATAACAATTTATACTTTGTTCATCACTATTGTAGATCTTCATAAAGTATCCTGCAAACAAAAGACTATGTAATAATTTTTAATTGTATGATCAAAAATTCGCATTGAATTAACTCATGCAATAATAAATGTTAAAACACTAATTACTTTACCTCTGTATTATTCACTATGAAGAATGAAAAGAGAAAACATTAGCGTAAATCAAATAATCTCTTTTGTTTAATTACGTTTTATGAAATGGAGAAAAATTCTTGAGTGATAATGATATCGCTTCAGGAGTGAGTGAATAGCGCGGTGTATCGTCTATTAGTGATTCTCGTCGAATATCTCGTCTTGAAGGATTACCATGACCGAGTGCATCATCAACTATTTAGTCAAGAAAAAAAGAGTAATTTTTCTTTAATTAGATGAATTATAAATGCTACATGATTCGTCTGGATCTAAACGTCGTCGCTCAGGCACTCTAATATGATCACCACCAATCATTTTCAAACCCTCCATTAAACAATCAAGATATTCTAATACATGAGCTTGCTAAACATGTATACAAATTGTAATACAAGACAAGGAATAATGAAAAATATTACTTGACTACTAATAATTCGTACTCGATCTTCAAGTGTTGCCATTTTACTGAACATTTTATCTTGTGGTGTTTGACTAAACATGGTAAAACATATATATTTAAAAAAAAATTATATTTTCAACTATCAACTTTACACTCGTTCTTCATCAAGTTCATGTTCTTCGGGTGATTTTCTAACAGTTTTCATATAATTATAATAAACTTCATCACCAAGTTGATCTTCAACTATTTCGATATTAGCAGCAAATTTTTCTTCGAGCTTTATTTCTGTAACAAAAAAACAAAAACAACATTTAAATCAAAACGAAAAGAAAGAGTTTTCTTACGATATTTAGTTCGATTTTTATGTTGATCATGTTTTATTTTAAACCATTGTGATGTAGTACAATGTGATAAAGAATATAATACAAATCGCCAAAGATGAGAAAAAAGAATAAATGGAGGTGGCATTGCTGGTCGAGATAAATATTCGCATACTAATGAGTATCGTTGAAATTTCCATATTCGATCTGTATCATTATGAAGACGATCGAATGTATTACTAGGAAAAAATAATTGCAAGAATATGAAAATTACAACAAGTTATCAAATGTTTGTAGTATTATGTCAGAATATTAAATAGACTCTATCTTTCGTACGACTGAAGACAAATAAAAAGTAGATACTTTAAGCATCGAAATAAGTTTTGCAGAAGTCTTTTAAATAGATCTGATGAAAAGATCATTATGAATAGGGTCAAAATTCAGAGAATATCTGAATAAAACATTAATAAATTTTCAAGTTACATAAATCACTTTATTTGTTTGCTGACTATAATAAATCACACTAGATCTTATGAGTATCTTGGTAGTGCGAGCAAACTGCTGCATGCATCGACGAATATTGATAGAGCATTAATGTACTGTCAGAGAGATAAAAAAAAGTGCTGCTTTATTGCTATTAGTAGCAGGCACTTTCCTACTAGCGACATCTATATGAAATCTTGAAACAATAATGAATAAATCCAGAATATTTTTGATATGATTTAGTCAAGAACTACTTCGATGAAAATAATAGAGAGCAGTACAAACAAAACGTTTTCAACCTAAAATACAAGTTAACAGAAACTTGCTCTAAACATGAAATATCTCATGCGATGATGAATAAAATTTAGATGCTAACAAAGTCTGAGGCATAGAAAGCTTGCAAGTCTGAATAAAAAAAAACGTGAAATCACAGCTCCCTCGTCAGGTATTTAGCGTTTGACAGCATCCCATAGCTTTTCTGTATGAATATTCTGGTGACTACAATCTAGTTAATCTTAGTTCTTTCATTTTCGTTCAATACCTGAACATTGCAATAAGTAAATTAACCAAAAGTATACTAACAATAGCCATATAAATAACAAGTAAAACAAATATCGTATAACCAGTTGGTCGGTAATTGTCTGAATAAAGAAGAATTTATTATTTTAAGAAAAAAGATAATATTCTTGTTTTCTTACTTTCAAATTTACTTAATGAACTTAATTCTCCAAATATTTCCCAATAAGCAAGATGTATAATGTCACGTGGTAAATGCCAACTAAATTTATTTGCACCATTAATAAGACTATAAGCTGATACACCAAATCCCAAAATAAATACAGTTAACATAAGCATATAAAATTTCAAATCATGTACCTTACAAAAATTTTCAATAGAAAAAAAGAATAATTAAAGAATTCATATGAAAAAATTTTCTTACCATTTCACCAATCATAACAAGTTTAGGACCAAGTCGTTTAATAGCTGCAAATATATCTAATGAACGTATAAACCAAAGTGATAAATCAACCGATAAAGCAATACGTGCTGCACAAAAACATTCTGTGAATGGTACAAATCGAAATATAAAACCAACATAAAAAAGCATTATAGCTAGAAAATCTAATTTATTCCAAAAAACTTCAAAGTATGCTGTTATTTTTTTATGAGCTGAATGTGCTTCGAATGAGAAGAGCTATAAAGAAATTGATATTGAAAAACAAAAACAAAAGTCGTATTCAAATTACTTGTCGAAGTTCTTCACAAAGTAATGTCGTAACCCAAATAAGAAGTATATATTCTGTATTAGCTGGTCGATCATGTTTTTGAAATCCATATGGAACTGTACTATTAGTTTTAGCATCATTATTTTTCACCGATGGACTATTATTATCACCATCTTGTTTTTCAGGATCATTAGTTGATCCACATACATCCGTTTGAAATTCGTACAGAGGAAAAAAATCACATAATAACACATAAGAAAAAAGTAATAAAAATATCACATGAAAATACTAGAAACAAAGATGAACAATTCTTTGTATAGAAACAAAAATATTCGAATGAAATACATACTAAGTTATATAAATATTTAACATATGGAGCACGTAGAAATCTTAAAATATTTCCAAAATATCGAGAAATTGCAGCGTATACACTTAATAAAAGAAAAAAAAACATTCTCTTTGTAATTAATATTAACATTCCTACATTAAAGATTATTAAATATTCCAAATGTTAGTTTAGTTAATTAATAGCAATGCTGTAACATATATAATGCGTTAATATGTGTCAATTATTCTTTTTTTTATTTACTGTTCACAACAGCCGACAGCGACGAAATGAACAGGAGCAGTATTCATATCTCCAACACCATGCATTAATCTCATTTGAGTACCATCTGTTTCTCTAGATAAATAATAAGACAAGGCAAAATTAAATTTGTGTACATATTTTACTGAAGAAACAAAATATTAATATAAATTTTGTTAATATTATATTTATATATTAAACAATAGTTTGCTTGTTCTATTTGTTAAAAATTAGATTCTTTTTATTTTTGAAAACAAAATAGAATTCGAACTTTTATTTATTCGATTATAATTAATCAAACATAAAATAAACTAATTTGACTTTCAATTTCTAATAATTTGTAAAACATAATCTAAAAGGAGCGTTGAAGTATAGAGACTGAAATTTAGATCGTCACCTTCCCAACACAGTGTGTATTTTTTGCAAGCCAAGCAGATAAACTATTTTCTTGCCTAGAAATGCTTGGATATGACGCAGAAAAGCATTTTTAAAAAAAAAAGTTTTTCGACGAAAAATGTCTGAGTAGGATACTTCTTCTGCGCTGATTCAAAAAATACTATGTTGAAGCTACTGTGCAGGTCAGAAATATTTGCGCTATGGTTACTGGACCAATCAAACTCCCTTCAGCAATAACATGGACATCCAATGGATCAAACTACATTATTGGTATATTAGGCAAACTAATACTCTTCTTTGTAAAGTTATTTTTTTACGTGACTCTTAGGGGATTACTGTGGTGAATCGGGATTCCGGAACTTCGCCAATAAGACTTTCGCCAAATAGCACTTTCGCCAGTGGCGAAACTCCACTGTACTTTCGCCAAAAGACCACCTGGAATATCGCCAATTGGCGAAAGTTCATTGTACTTCTGCCAACATCTCTCCTAGAATTTCGCCAATGGTATTGTGAATTAGACTCACATATATTCTATGTTAATATTGTTTCATGACAGTTGGCGAAAGTACAGTAGACTTTCGCCAATACGTCCTCTGGAATTTCGCCGATTGACAAAAGTACAATGGACGTTCGCCAATATACCCCCGGACTTTCGCCATTGGCGAATGTCCTTTTGGCGAAAAACTTATTGGCGAAGTTCGGGTAACCCGGCGAATCAAGGATTAAAATAAATAATTATACAATTCATTGAAAAAATTATGAAACAAGAAAATATAATATCTGAAATCTTCTTAATATCACTTTCTCATTTTTTCTTCAACGTCTATAACGCACGAACTATCGCATAATATAAATGATAACTATTTTTAAAAAAATCGATTTAAAACAATACTTTTCCAACGCAATCAGTGGTTTTGTTTGTGAAGCTCGTTGTGCCAAATTTGATTTACGATTTGAATCCTAGATATTTAAAACATAATATAAGAAAGCAAAAAGTAAATAAAACGAAAAAGAATAATACATCTTCAAATTTTGTTTGACTATTTGTTTTAACTAATTCATCTTGATATTGAAGAAAACCACTATACCAAAGCATAAATGTCGAAAAGATGATTTTCTTTTCACTTTCTTGTTGATTAATATATCCATACCTAGATGAAAATTTTGGATATTTTATTGAAACAAAAACTTTTAATTTTCAATCTACCAAATATTATTGAGTACTTCTTGTACTGCCCGCTGAGCAATAAATTTTTTAGCGTCAGCTTCTGCAGCTAATTGTAACCATGTGACATTACCATAGGCTGGTATACGTCGTATAAGTGCTTTTATACATTTATGAGAATTATCTTGATAAAATCGATCAAGAATTTGTACAGCTAAATTTTCGAATTCATCAGCCATTTGTTCATAACTATTATCATTATCTTTAGAAGCACGTTTTCTATAAATTAATGTAGCAATTAATGCAGCACCTAATGAAAATGTTTTTTTATATATGCACACGTATGTATATATATATATCCAATAGAAAGATAAGGTTACTTACAGATTTTATTTTTGCCACGAGACCAAAATAACAGATTAAACTCACGTTTGTCTTCTATTACAGACCAAAGAAAAAGTTCTTTGTCAACATCCAAATGATAATTGGAATTATCTATAAAAGATTCAATTGAAAAAGAAAATATGTTTGCATTATATACAAAACATAATTCAGACCAATTATATTTTGAATATTGTCTCATTTCTATCATAAGCACAGTCCTGGACTAGAACCTGCTAGGTTCAAACTTTTTTGAATTCGGGTCCGTTTCACAGAAAAATTTTAGACTCACAGTCAATCAACTCTGAGATCAATCTGATTGGCTCTATTCTGAACAAAACTAACTGCCCCCCCCCCTCAATGAGAAGTGCTACTATTTTTTATAATATTGCGACAATGCTTTGAATGTATGCGCGTGATAATACATTCTGATAGCATGTGCTAAAGTTATAATTTAGACTTTATCTCTTTCTTGTGATCCCCTTATGTCAACCATGTTTGCAGAAACATTTTCATCAAACTCCTCAGTCAAAAGTCCATTGTCGTATAGTCGATGAAGAGCAAATATTAGTTTTTAGTAAGATGATTCTTTTTCACGATAACTTTGATCAGTTTTTTTTAACACTTCAGTAGAAAGTTCTCATGAGACGACAAGTCTGTTCTAAAAAATTTTATAGTCACATCATCGGATGAAGTCGAGTTAGTGGTACGACATGGGTTCATGATCTCAGAGCATGCTAATTACTAAGATCTGAGACCTTGACTACGCATCAATATGTTTTTTCAGAAGGTTAAGAACATGTATACATTATAATTTTAGTTTATAAGAATTGATAGAAGGCGGGTTTGTGCTTGTGATCAGAGCTTATTGTCGTATGCATGCATCTCGAATAGTAGCACTTCTTGAGGGACAGCTTATTATGATTCTCAATAATCATGTTGGTTGTTCATATTTTTGGAAGTTTTACGACATAGAACAATTTATGAAGCGTTTTCAAGTCAATTAATAATGAGAGTATAGGAATTTAAAAAAAAAGAAAAAAAACAACTGACTTTCTAAAGGTGAATTTGCAACAAGGTCATTGAGTGTGCCAGCAGCATTATTTGGGCTTGCCAATGATCTTGAACAACATGAACGTGCATCATCATCATTGTCAATATTTACACGAGTATGAGATGCAGATATCGGTGATCGTGAAGCAGTATCAATTTTAAAGAAATCGCCTATTAATGGTTGAATTACTTGTTGATAGATTGATTGTAATGGATTATTAGATGCTGGCAAACTGCGATGAGGCTAATGTAAAGATAAAAGAAAATAATAACAATGATTAATGAGTACTTCAAAAAATTAAATTATACTTGTTTCATGCTATTTTGATAAAGTAATAGGAATTTGTCATGATTTCGAAATAAATCAGTTAATGAAAAATCATGATCAAGAAATAGTTTAACAAATTCTGTTTGATTTCTATTGAGTGCTATTTCAAATAAATCTTTTAAAGTCTTAATCTAATTAGAAACAAACACAAAAAGACAAATAATTTAAATTAAAAAGAAATTATTCATTTTTCTTACCTCCCAATCTCGATCATTTGTCATAATTTTTTTTTTTACAATATCAACACGATTCCATTCCAAAGCTAAACGAAATTGTTCATGTTTTCGTTGATCATTTGTTTTACCTGAATCAGAACCTGACGTAGCTTTAAAATAAAAAGCAAACGAATTTTCTTTTTAGGCAAAAAACATTATTCATATTTTTCTTTTCTTTTACCATTTAATAAAGCTTCTAAAATAGCTAAATCAATATCAGGTTCAACTGGACTCCGTGAATTAAGACTGATAATATTTAAAAAAGTTGGTTGAGTATGAATGCATTCATAAACTAATTCAAAATAATCAGTTGTATCAACTTCCTTTTTTGCAGTTTCGTCTGCAGTCGCTGGAGTTTTTGACGTTTTTTTACTACGACCATCACCTGATCCTTCACCTGCACCACTAATTGCATAAAGTTCTTGTTTAAGTGCTTCACGAAGTTTATTTTTTAATTCTTCAAAACGTCTTAAAGCACCTGGTATATCCGATCTAAATAATTGCAAAGAACTCATATATATATATATATATACGTAGATGTATGTATTCATCTTTGAATAATTAAAACTTTTTTCGATCTTAATATTAATTTTAAAAAATTGACTAGTCATAAATATATCATGATAACGTAGAAGTTATACAAGGTAGCGAGTTTGGATTTCTATCACAAGAATGAAGAAAAATTCGAATTTCTCTTATTCGTTTTACTCAACTATCCATTTCAACATAATAATCAAAAAGAATTTTGACAACTACAGTTACAAATAGAATCAAATGTAAAAACAATTTCTAAGATTATAAGGATTGGACTGAACGAACGTCTATTTAAACCCTTTCATCTATGTCTGACTTGACATTGTTTGAGTTTAGATAATGAAACATGTACCATCTGCTTACAAAAGAACTATCTTAAGTGGCACACGCCGTTTTAGCTCATATGGAGCCAACAGGCAGGTCTCAGTAGCAATATTAAAAGTGTAAAAGAATTCGTCTCCATTGTCCTTTGGCGCTGAGTTATGATTGGGTCATTGAATTTCTGATCGAAATTCTGTCATTTGATTTTTTAGGAACTATCTACTAATGAGCCGAGACTTGCCTTCGGATTTAGTATGAACTCTAACAATGGATGTAAGTTGAAGTAGTTCTCTAGTTATTAATTTCTCTTGATATTTTCTAACTACTATGTTGTTCATTATTTACTGTGGATTTTCTTTGGTGAGTCCAAATTCTTGACGATATTCATTGTAAAGATTGAATGCTTTAGCAAATAAATCACAACAACGACCTGTTCCTTCCAAAAGCACAGCTGGTATGCTATTTTCAACAACGGCTTCATGAACTATAGAAAGAGAAAAATCAGTTTTCTTGTTTTCTTTCACGAACAAGTAACATTGTATACCTGTTCGAACAGTATTTGGACCACCTTCAACAACAAGAAGAACAACAGGTATTGGATCTATAACCAAATGAATGTAGTCATTTAAAAGATGAAAACTTCATATCAACCTGATGATTCTGGGTGTAACGATGATGTTGGTGTTAAATTTGACTTGATCACATTAGGAGCTACTGTAGATCGTGATGCAAAAAAATCTCCTGAGATAGCTTTTTCAAGACGAGCACGAAATGGTATTTCACGACCATATTTTCGATCACTTCCATCATCAATAAAAATAAATTCAGTATGATTAGGTTCGAGAGGAGCTACGCCTTTTCCTTCACTAGTCGGTTTATGATAAGACACATTTTCTCCATGACCATCAAGTTGTTGAACACCGGCTATACAACCCCAAGTAGAAATACCCTATTATCAATGATCGATTAAGAATACATAATTGAATTTGAAAAAATTTCATTTACAATTAAATGAATTGGACGACAACGACTTGGATATATTTGAACAATTTCACCAACAAGTTTCATAATTCCTGTATTCATACCACCAGTAATAATCCAAGCACCTAAAAACGAGAAAAAAAAATTCAGAATTTTTAGAATATAAAGTAAATGAAAGCATTTCCTAATTAAATTAATCATGATTATTATGTTTCAATCATCTTCTAACAAATAGACCTTTTCTCGAAAAACTAAACAATATTTATGACAGATGTTTTCACTAGCATTATGCTTGCTTTATCTAGAGATGTGCAGGGTAACCTTTCTTTCATTTGTTAATTGAGAAAAATTTTCTCAACTTCATTCTATTCTCTCCTGTGATAGGGTAATTTTGCACGTCTCTAACTTCTTCGTTTTACTTTTTCTTTATTTACATTGAGAGTTTGAAAAAAGTGAAAATTAATCTTGGTATTGCCACCATTTGAAAATACAGATGTGAGAATAGGTCACGGTCACGGTCATATGACTGTAATCAATAATAATTTATTAAGTCAATCAAAAAAAGAAACATCTTGCAGCAACAAATTTAGAGAGGGCGATTATTCTTCCCTTCCAAAATATTTTTCGATTTTTTGCAATAGTAAACGCTCATATATAAGCCGATGCGACTTCTTATAAATTTCAAAACATATTTTTTCATCATAATCCTTTTGTCTCAAAAATCCAAAATTAATCTTAATTAAAATCAACAGAAAACAAACAGTAACATAAAGAGAACAAGGTTATTTAATATGAATCATAGCTTTACTAACGGGTGGCCCAGATTAAATGGACCTCTTAGTATTTTGACTATAACTTTTTTTCTTTTTGGTCTTTAGAGCTAATTGTTTTTCCAAAAGATGCGCCGTCAAATTCTCTGTAAAATCATAATCAAACTTATTTGTGTAGAAAGTTAAGGAAAAAAATTAAACGAAGATTATCCGACACATTAAAAGTACCCAACTTTCAAAGCTGACGGATGTCTCATAANATATCGCCACCCATACCCCCTCCGAAACTCCCAACCATACGTATCCACACCTATCGCCTTTTATTCCGTAGTTATTAGAAAACGAATGAAAGAAAACAGTAAGATTCAACGGCTGATACGTTAAATCAAAAAGAGAAAAAAATGCAACGTAGCTTTGTTTGATAGGCACAAAGCTGCAAAAAAATACGACATCGATCCTCAGTTGGACGCACTACGATAACAACTGTGAATCATAGTACAAATATACATTAAGCTGCAATCGAATACAGCGACGCACTTCGCCCCTGGTGTGAATGACACACAGGTGATGGCGGAGAAAACAAGCAGAATATTTTATTACGATTTCATTTAACGAGATTGACTGACAAATTTGTTCTCATTTTCTTAAACTTGTAGATCGATCAATAAAAATATGAACGTTTCCATTATTTCTCTCGCTATAGTTGTTATTGCTCTTCTATCATTATCATCGGCTGAATCTGATATTCCAACATGCTTTCAAGAAATTATTCATCCCTTGCCGGACGGACCCGTAAGGTATCAATATACCCGAATTGACCAATATCTGTATCGCGGCAAAATGACCTATTTGGCGACTAGCCGCTGTTGTGACCGAATGAATCCTCTTTACGACGCAGAATGTACTTATATTTGTGCTCCTTCAGGTGGTTTTACAGGTCGGGGTGATGGTGAATGCACGGATTTCACTGAGACGGCAAAGTTTTTGGGTCTCATGTGGGTGGCACTACCCGGCAAATAAATCAGTCCTACTAGTTCTATTATCATCATAAAAATATCAGCTATTAAACAAAATAAAATGATATAATCTAGCAACAATCTATAAATATGAACCCAAGAAAAAAAGTTTTCAGTGCAATCTCTACGAAATCAAATTGTCAAATAAGGTGAAATCGTTTCACGTTGGTATGAAGATGCTTCTTTTTTTGCAACAAGTCGACACAAGGTCAAGGAGGATCATCTCTCGTTGTTTGTGACAGCGTGTTATTTGTGGCAATATGGTTTGGATACTATTCCATACACAGTGACCTCAGTCAGTACTCGACACTGTCTAGTATTCATGACCAATATAACGTAATCGAATTACTTCATGCGTTTGAAAATACATAACATCTATGATATTTCTTTAAAAGTCTCATTGTTTTGCTTGTGATTCATCGATCAGTTCAGCTCTAGATATTGCATTATTAGCCTAATTGAATATATCGTTTTCAAGTAGAAACTTTAATAAACTATTCCATCCATAATCTAATGAATCATACAAATTTAGGATGTGGGTGTCGGTATGAAACGATGCAAAATCGACATCTACACCCTCAATTATTCCCACACACACACTTTTTCTTTGTGAAACATCCATCAATTAGATCAAACACAACCGTCTTTTCACAAAATAGAAAAATACCATCCTTCGTTTTCTATTCAAATAAAAATCGGGTCAATTCTCGGTCTGCAATGCTAAGAAATGCTTGGCATTTATGCAATAGATAATTTAATCAATCGATTGAAATTCTTGTCATGTACATTGTAGAGTTCGAATGCCTTCACTTTCGTCAGATTGAACATTATTGGTGTTTAATCTGTCGAAACCTTTCTCGATAGAAACAACATTTTCTTTGTGTCTCATCGATTTAAATATTTGAATTTGAGTTTGGTTCAGAAGAAAACAAAAATCGAACAGAGAAAGCCTCTCAGAGATAGTTTCAACATCTTTGCAAGTTATTTTTTGTCATGAACATTGACAATGTGTTGATTGACATTAGAAAATTCAGAGAACGACTTAATCAATGGATATAGTCATGAATATCAATGGAATGAGCATTATATCTTTGTTCTATTTCAATAAAACTTCCTCGTACTCGATGCAATACTACAATCACATTACTAAATCATCAGCGAATGATAACACAAGTGCATCGCATGTCATGATGAGCTGTATGTTCACAGTGCTCTTTCGTTAGCCATTTTAATATTTTGACTTGATGCATTTCATTGTTCTGAGATGACAGAAGATTTTTTAAAAATTTCTCTTTGTCGACTAGCTGGAACTTGATCTGAGACGAAATATTAGCGGACTTTGTGTAGCCGTTGGAACAGAAATAGAAATTCGAAACAATAAAGTATATGAATACTAGATTTTATAATATCTTTTCAAAATGTAACATGATGTTCTTACAACAGAGTCTGACTACGTTATAACTTGATGGGCATGATATCGGTGATTAAGGAGCACATCATATAGGTGATGGATTACGAAATAATAAAGACGTAATCGATATGAATATTTTTATTTCATAGGCTCTTCAGTTTCTCTTTTACAGACACTTGGAAGGCTGAGCCTTAGATACAACGAAATTGGTTACAATGGAGCATTTCACCTAGCTACTGTCTTAAGAAATAATATGGTATTTAACATTCTATCGCTATTGAATAAAATAATCATTTTAGAGGCTAATTAACCTGGATCTCTTCGGTAATCATATTGAAAGTAAAGGAGCGATCTATTTTGCTGATGCTTTGAAAAATAACACGGCATTTCGTAGTTCTAATTATTGCTCTTCAAATCAATATTTTAGTCTTACAGACATTGATGACATTAGGCATTGGTGGCAATCAAATTGAGAAAGAAGGTGCGTATATATTCTCTACTTCAACTGTTTCGAAGCAGCACAGTAAGTTGGATTGTCTTATTACTTTTCTAGCATAACATCTCTGATTTAGACATTGAACATATCAGATTTTCACCAGAATTACATAGGAGCACAAGGAATGAAATATCTGGCTGACGCTTTGTTACATGAAATAGTGCGACTTTTTACTTAATTGTTTTATATCGACTGTCTTATTCACATCGGCAATCATCAAACAAAGAGGATATGGGTGTGGGTGTGTGGGGGTGGGGTGTGATTGTGAATGAGGAGTATATGCATCCACACCCATCTACACCCCATGGAAATATTGCGGAGTGTGTGGATGTGTGTGTCGTTGTCGTTTTGTTCCTCAACACCGACACCCACACCCTGATAGAACTTCTTGAATCATAGTTCGACTGAAATTTCAAGGACATCCAACGGTAATCCACAACATTTCGCATCTGTTTTTTACGTTCCAGAATTTAAGAGAAAGTGTTTATGAGAAAAGTTTTTCTAGTAACAAATTTAGAAAAGATCGGAAAAACATTTTTTTTCTAATGCTACAAGATCTAAAATAGTTTTGAATTCGAAACAATATAGATATGTCCGCTGGTTAATTGATAATGAATATTATTTTGTTCTGAGTTCTATTCTACGTCCGACTGTATGATAATAAAACTTGCGGCTTCTTAAAGTATAGTTTTCAAAATATACACCCTTCACAAAATAGAAAAATGGGGATACAAGATGGATGTGAACTCTATATTTCTAATTAGTTGTGATCTTCATAGAACCTCATTTGATGAGTAACAGCTGCTCTTTATAAAGTCTGCAGCATGTATGGCTGAAACGATGTCTTCGATATGTAAGTGTGCTTTTCAAAAGAGTCACACTCTCACCCTGTTCACTCTTTTTTGTACACTTATTATGCATATACTTTGATAAGGGAACTACTTCATCCAATCGTACATTATTTTCGGGCTCAAACTTTCAAAATGGTGAGTGTGTCTGAAGAAAAGGCCACATTCCACATGGAATATATTTTGAGCTTTTGCAAAGTGTCACATGTCAAATAGAATCTGAATAATGTCGATATATGCTTCATCAGTAAAAAGAAGCACGTATTAGCCGCAGTATCTTTCGTACTTTTCGAAGGAAAAAATTCTATCTTAGTCAAGTATTTCACAATAATTGCAGTAGAGTATAAGAACACCCACATTTCGAGTGCGAGAAGTATGATATTTTTCAATAACTTTCTGCATAGTTCTCACATGTATACCGCGTTCATACTGTTCTGCAGCAATCAATGAAAAGTCACGAAACACTCGCCAATGGGTGAAACTCTTATCGTCGACGAGCGGAAACCGCACTTCTCCCTAAGTTGAGCATGCTGATTCGTGAAACAACCTCTTTCTCTCTTATTATTACGCATCAGGATGTGACGATAGCTTTTTCGTATACTTACATTCATTGCCGTATGGCTCGGACTGTACTCACATCGACATATAGGCTTAAAACCTGTGATAGTTTTTCCTATCTGCTATGCAATATTATGATGTGAGAAACTTTTCACCAAACGCTTATCAGTATCTATGCCGATCATGAGTTTTCAGCTTTTTTCTGTCACATTTTTGGGTTGCAACTTATTCTCTGAACTCCGTCGACGCATGATCTGCGACTCGAAGCTATATGAACTAGCTTTCGCACATTCCAGTAGACCGTTAGAATTTATCTTTCGGCTACCTTGTGGTATATGGCACTGTCCGAGAATAGTTTCGAAAGTCTGATATTTTTCTTACATCTATTACTAAATGTAGCTCTAGACAGAAGACCAGCCTGACTTAGACTTCTTCAGTTTAATTAATTTAGGCTCCTCGTACATACTGACTAGCTGCATGTGAGCTACAAGAGTTTTAGTGTATGTCAATCATGCAGTCAGCTTGCTATCGGATGAGTAATTCGAGACAAAGCAGTCGCTAGTGACTTGTCCAAGGCTATTGTATGACCGATGGAGCCAATGTTAGAACACAGTACCTCAAGGAGTAAAAAGCTGACTTCTGTACTTCTTCGCACTTCTCAAGTACATAAGTCTGCTTTCGCCCTCTTGCAGTATCTTGTGCGTATGTGCGGAACATCTTAACTATTCAGTCATACCGGCTCCGGGTGTGGGTTTGCCCTGAGAGGAGATTTAGATCCCTACCCGCACTCATCCCCCCTCCCCACCACCACATCTTTTCTCTGTCCAGGCGCAATAATATATGGTGATGAAAAGAGTACCCTCCAGTAATATGGACTGTTATACGCCTTGAATCTTTGCCCTGTACTGCTAAGGTACTCATGAGAGTCCCAAAGCCTTTGTTGTTCTGAGGTACGCAACTTTTTCACCAACCTGACTTAATGAAATCTGGAAAGCAGAGTATTCGTTTCGATGCTTGCGTGGTCATAAGTTATTTCCTACCATGCTGACCATTTGCTAAATTGACTGAAAGTTTCTAGTCTCATTTAGATGAGCTGCTGTAAAATTCGAAGCTTTTCATCCTCACTCTGACGCAATAATTTGCTGTAGAAAGTTATTTGTCATCACTTTCACTTATGGTTGTTTGTTTAGAAGACTATCGTCCTAGTTTTCACTCGGAGTTGTGTGACCAGAATCCTCATCTTGCCCTCAGCCGCATCGATATGTCGACAGTACCATCATACTACGTTCGTGCCTTCTCTCATGAAATTCTCAATCATATTATCTTAGCATTTTGATTCTAATCTGCGAACTAACGAAAAGTAATGAATAGAATTGAAAAAAAGAAAGGAAACTAACGATATGAAAACGAGACAAGTTCGTAAAAAAGAAATCGATAAAATCATTAAAATTTTGAGGGATGTACGCAACAAACGAAAATCACTCGTCAGGTGACATTCTAATTTCAGATGTTTGAAAATAAATTTTTCATTATTTCTGACATTGAACAAAATAAAATATTCAAACATTAATATTAATAGTGATAGCGATAATATTTATTTTATTGATTAAAAAAAATCTAAACTATTCAAGACATTATGGAAGAATGATAAACATAAAAGAAATTATTATTATATATTAAAAAACAGCTGGTTTAAAATTAGATTATTGTTTCCAGTTTCTGAATGGTTATTAAAATTGAAATTAATATAATAATTTATACTTTGTTCATCACCATTGTATATCTTCATAAAGTATCCTGCAAACAAAAGACTATGTAATAATATTTAATTGTATGATCAAAAATTCGCATTGAATTAACTTATGCAATAATAAAAAATGTTAAAACACTAATTAATAAATAGTTTACCTCTGTATTATTCACTATGAAGAACGAAAAGAGAAAACATTAGCGTAAATCAAATAATCTCTTTTGTTTAATTACGTTTTACGAAATGAAGAAAAATTCTTCAGTGACAATTGTATTTCGTCAGGAGTGAGCGAATTGTGCTGTGTATCCTCTATTAGTGATTCTTGTTGAATATCTTGTCTTGAAGGATCACCATGACTGATTGCATCATCAGCTATTTAGTCAAGAAAAAAAGAGTCATTTTTCTTTAATTAGATGAATTATAAATACTACATGATTCGTCTGGATCTAAACGTCGTCGTTCAGGCACTCTAATACGATCACCAGCAATCATTTTCAAACCGTCTATTACACAATCAAGATATTCTAATACATGAGCTTGCTAAACATGTATACATATTGCAATACAAGACAAGGAATAAAGAAAAATATTACTTGACTACTAATAATTCGTACTCGATCTTCAAGTGTTCCCATTTTACTGAACATTTTATCTTGTGGTGTTTGACTGAACATGGTAAAACATATTTATATTAAAAAAAAATTATATTTTCAACTATCAACTTTACTCTCGTTCTTCATCAAGCTCATGTTCTTCGGGTGATTTTCTAACAGTTTTCACATAATTATAATAAACTTCATCACCAAGTTGATCTTCAACTATTTCGATATTAGCAGCAGATTTTTCGTCGAGCTTTATTTCTGTAACAAAACAACAAAAACAACATTTAAATCAAAACGAAAAGAAAGATTTTTCTTACGATATTTAGTTCGATTTTTATGTTGATTATATTTTGCTTTAAACCATTGTGATTTAGTACAATGTGCTGAAATATATAATACAAATCGCCAAAGATGAGCAAGAAGAATAAATGGAGGTGGTATTGCTGGTCGAGATAAATATTCGCATACTAATGAGTATCGTTGAAATTTCCATATTCGATCTGTATCATTATGAAGACGATCGAATGTATTACTAGGAAAAAATAATTGCAAGAATATGAAGATTACAACAAGTTATCAAATATTTCTAGTATTGTGTCAGAAAATTAAATAGACTCTATCTTTCGTATGACTGAAGACAAATAAAAAGGAGATACTTCAAGCATCGAAATAAGTTTTGCAGAAGTCTTTTAAATAGATCTGATGAAAAGATCATTATGAATAGGGTCGAAATTCAGAGTAGATCTGAATAAAACACTAATAAATTTTCAAGTTAGATAAATTACTTTATTTGTTTGCTGACTATAATAAATCACAGTAGATCTTATGAGTATCAAGGTAACGTGAGCAAACTTGAGACATGCATCGACGAAGATTGATGGAGCCTTAATGTACTGTCAGAGAGATTAAAAAGTGCTTCTTAATTGCGATCAAGTAGTATCAGGCACTTTCTCACTAGCGACATCTCTATGAAATCTTGAAACAATAATGAATAAATCCAGAATATTTTTGATATGATTTAGTCAAGAACTGCTTCGATGAAAATAATAGAGAGCAGTACAAACAAAAAGTTTTCAATTTAAAATACAAGTTAACAGAAAGTTGCTCTAAACATGAAATATCTCATGTGATGTTGAATTAAATTTAGGTGCTAACAAAGTGTGAGGCATAGAAAGCTGCAAGTTCGAATAACAAAAAAAGAAGTGAAATCACAGCTCCCTCGTCAGGTATTTAGCGTTTGACAACATCCCATAGCTTTTCTCCATGAATATTCTGGTGACTACAATCTAGTTAATCTTAGTTCTTTCATTCTCGTTCAATACCTGAACATTGCAATAAGTAAATTAACCAAAAGTATACTAACAATAGCCATATAAATAATAAGTAAAACAAATATTGTATAACCAGTTGCACGGTAATTGTCTGAATAAAGAAGAATTTATTATTTTAAGAAAAAAGGTAATATTCTTGTTTTCTTACTTTCAAATTTACTTAATGAACTTAATTCTCCAAATATTTCCCAATAAGCAAGATGTATAATGTCACGTGGTAAATGCCAAGTAAATTTGTTCGCACCATGAATAAGACTATAAGCTGATACACCAAATCCCAAAATAAATACAATTAACATAAGCATATAAAATTTCAAATCATGTACCTTACAAAAATTTTCAATAAAAAAAAATAATTAAAGAATTCAAATGAGAAAATTTTCTTACCATTTCACCAATCATAACAAGTTTAGGACCAAGTCGTTTAATAGCTGCAAATATATCTAATAAACGTATAAACCAAAGTGATAAATCAACCGATAAAACAATACGTGCTGCACAAAAACATTCTGTGAATGGTATAAATCGAAATATAAAACCAACATAAAAAAGCATTATAGCCAGAAAATCTAGTTTATTCCAAAAAACTTCAAAGTATGCTGTTATTTTTTTACGAACCGAATGTGCTTCGAATGAGAAGAGCTATAAAGAAATTGATATCGAAAAGCAAAAACAAAAGTCGTATTTAAATTACTTGTCGAAGTTCTTCACAAAGTAATGTCGTAACCCAAAGAAAAAGTATATATTCTGTAAAAGCTGGTCGATCATGTTTGTGAAATCCATATGGAACTGTTATGTTAGTTTTAGCTTCATCATTTTTTACCGATGGACTATTATTATTACCATCTTGTTTTTCAGGATCATTAGTTGATCCACATACATCCGTTTGAAATTCGTACAGAGGAAAAAAATCACATAATAACACATAAGAAAAAAGTAATAAAAATACCACATGAAGATACTAGAAAAGAATATGAACAATTCTTTGTATAGAAACAAAAATATTCGAATGAAAATATACATACTAAGTTATATAAATATTTAACATATGGGGCACGTAGAAATCTTAAAATATTTCCAAAATATCGAGAAATTCCAGCGATTACACTTAATTAAAGAAAAAAAAACGTTCTCTTTGTAATTAATAGTAACATTCCTACATTAAAGATTATTAAATATTTCAAATGTTAGTTTAGTTAATTAATAGCAATGCTGCAACATATATAATGCGTTAATATGTGTCAATTATTTTTTGTTATTTACTGTTCACAACAGCCGACAGCAACGAAATGAACAGGAGCAGTATTCCTATCTTCAATATCATGCATTAATCTCATTTGAGTACCATCTGTTCCCCTAGAGAAATAATAAGGCAAGGCAAAATTAAATTTGTGTACATATTTTACTGAAGAAACAAAATATTAATATAAGTTTTGTTAATATCATATTTATGTATTAAACAATAGTTTGCTTGTTCTATTTGTTAAAATTAGATTCTTTTTGTTTTTGAAAACAAAATTGAATTAAAACTTTTATTTATTCGATTATAATTAATGAAACATAAAATAAATTAATTTGACTTTGAATTTCTATTAATTTGTGAAACACAATCGAAAAGGAGCGTTGAAGTATAGAGACTGAAATTTGAATCTCACCTTCCCCGCACAGTGTGCTTTTTTTGCAAGCTAAGCAGATAAGCTACTTTCTTGCTTAGAGACGATTGAATATGATGCAGAAAAGCATTTTTAAAGAAAAAAGTTTTTCGACGAAAAATACCTGTGTAGCATACTTTCCTTCTGCACTGATTCCAAAAATACTCTTTTGAAGCCACTGTGCAGGTCAGAAATATTTGCGCTAAAAGTATCTTTTTACGATTGCAGACAACTCAACTTGAGGATTCAGAAATTGTACTTGAATCCCTTTTTTCCATCATATGGTCACCGGACTAATCAAACTCCCCTCGACAAAGACATGGACACTCAATGAATCAAACTACATTATTGGCATATTAGGCAAACTGATACTCTTCTTTGTAAAGTTATTTTTTACGTGACTCTTCAGGGATCACTGTGATGGATCAAGGATTAAAATAATTATACACTTCTTTGAAAAAATTATGAAAGAAGAAAATATAATATCTCAAATCTTCTTAATATCACTTTCTCGTTTTTTCTTCAACGTCTATAGTGGACGAACTATCGCATAATATAAATGATAATTATTTTTAAAAAATCGATTTAAAATAATACTTTTCCGTCGCAAACAATGTTTTTGTTGGTGAAGTTCGTTGTGATAAATTTGATTTACGATTTGAATCCTAGACATTTAAAACATAATATAAGCAAGCAAAAAGGAAATAAAACGAAAAGGAATACATCTTTAATTTTTTTTTGATTATATGTTTTAACTAATTCATCCTGATATTGAAGACAACCACTATACCAAAGCATAAATGTCGAAAAGATGATTTTCCTTTCACTTTCTTGTTGACGAATATATCCATACCTGGATTAAAAGATTGGATATTTTATTGAAGCAAAAACTTTTAATTTTCAATCTACCAAATATTATTGAGTACTTCTTGTACTGCCCGCTGAGAAATAAATTTTTTAGCGTCAGCTTCTGCAGCTAATTGTAACCATGTGACATTACCATAGGCTGGTATAAGCCGTATAAGTGCTTTTATGCATGTATGAGAATTAACTTGATAAAATTCATCAAGAATTTGTACAGCTAAATTTTCGAATTCATCAGCAATTTGTTCATAACTATTATCTTTATCTTTAGAAGCACGTTTTCTATAAATTAATGTAGCAATTAATGCAGCACCTAATGAAAATGTTTTTTTACATATGCACATGTATGTATATATATATATATATATACAATAGAAAGAAAAGGTTACTTACAGATTTTATTTTTGCCACGAGACCAAAATAACAGAGTAAACTCACGTTTGTCTTCTATTACAGACCAAAGAAAAAGTTCTTTGTCAATATCCAAATAATAATTGGAATTACCTATAAAAGATTCAATTGAAAAAGAAAATATGTTAGCATTATATATAAAACATAATTCAGACCAATTATATTTTGAGTATTGTCTCATTTCTATCATAAGCACAGTCCTGGACTAGTGCCCGTTAGGTTAAAACTCTTTTGAATTCGGGTCTGTTTCACAGAAAATTTTTAGACTCACCGTCAATCAACTCCGAGATCAATCTGATTTGCTCTATTCTGAACAAAAGTAACTGCCCTCCCCCCCTCCATGAGAAGTGCTACTATTCTCTATAATATTGCGACAGTATTTTGAATGTATACGCGTGATAATACACCCTGATCGCATGTGCTAAAGTTATAATTTAGACATTATCTCTTTGTGATCCCCTTATTTCAACCATGTTTGCAGAAGCATTTTCATCGAACTCCTCAGTCAAAAGTCCATTGTCATATAGTCAATGAAGAGCAAATATTAGTTTTTAGTAAGATGAATCTTTTCCACGATAACTTTGATCAGTTTTTTTTAACACTTAAGTAGAAAGTTCCCATGAGACGACAAGTCTTTTCTAAAAAATTTTATAGTCACAACATCGAATGAAGTCGAGTTAGTGGTACGACATGGGTTCATGATCTCAGAGCATGCTAATTACTAAGATCTAAGATCTTGACTACGCATCAATATATTTTTTTCAGAAGGGAAAGAACATGTTTACATTATAATTTTAGTTTATAAGAATTGATAGAAGGCGGGTTGGTGCTTGGGATCAGAGCTTATTGTCGTACCCATGCATCTCGAATAGTAGCACTTCATGAGGGACAGCTTATTAAGATTCTCAACAATCATGTATCGTTTTCAAGTCAATTAATAATAAGAGTATATGAATTTTAAAAAAAAGAAAAAAAAAACAATTGACTTTCTAAAGGTGAACTTCCAGCAAAATCATTGAGTGCGCCAGTAGCATTATTTGGGCTTGCCAATGATCTTGAACAACATGAACGTGCATCATCATCATTGTCCATATTTACGCGAGTATGAGATGAAGATATCGGTGATCGTGAAGCAACATCAATTTTAAAGAAATCGCCTATTAATGGTTGAATTACTTGTTGATAGATTGATTGTAATGGATTATTAGATTCTGGCAAACTGTGATGAGGCTGATGTAAAGATGAAAGAAAAAAAACAACAATAATTAATGAGTACTTCAAAAAATAAAATTATACTTCTTTCATGCTATTTTGATAAAGTAGTAGGAATTTGTCATGATTTCGAAATAAATCAGTTAATGAAAAATCATGATCAAGAAATAATTTAACAAATTCTGTTTGATTTCTATTGAGTGCTATTTCAAATAAATCTTTTAAAGTCTTAATCTGATTAGAAACAAAAACAAAAAAGATAAATAATTTAAATTAAAAAGAAATTATTCATTTTTCTTACATCCCAATCTCGATCATGTGTCATAATTTTCTTTTTTACAATATCAACACGATTCCATTCCAAAGCTAAACGAAATTGTTCATATTTTCGTTGATCATTTGTTTTTCTTGAATCAGAACCTGATGTAGCTTTAAAAAAAAGCAAACGAACTTTCTTTTTTAGGCAAAAAACATTATTCATATTCTTCTTTTCTTTCACCTTTTAATAAAGCTTCTAAAATAGCTAAATCAATATCAGGTTCAACTGAACTCCGTGAATTAAGACTGATAATATTTAAAAAATTTGGTTGAGTATGAATGCATTCGTAAACTAATTCAAAATAATCAGTTGTATCAACTTTCCTTTTTTCAGCTTCGCCTGCAGTCGCTGGAGTTTTTGACGCTTTTTTACTACGACCATCATCTGATCCGTCACCTGCACCACTAATTGCACAAAGTTCTTGCTTAAGTGCTTCACGAAGTTTATTTTTTAATTCTTCAAAACGTCTTAAAGTAGCTGGTATATTCGATCTAAATAATTGAAAAGAACTCAAATGTATATATATATATATACGTAGATGTATGTATTCATCTTTAAATAATTGGAACTTTTTTCAATTTTAATATTAATTTTAAAAAACTGACTAGTCATAAATATATCATGATTAAGTAGAAGTTATACAAGGTAGCGAGTTTGGATTTTTATCACAAGAAGGAAGAAAAATTCGAATTTCCCTTATTCATTTTACTCAACTGTTTACTTCAATATAATGATCAAAAAGAATTTTGACAACTATAGTTACAAATAGAATCAAATGTAAAAACAATTTCTAAGATTGTGAAGATCGGACTGAACGAATGTCTATTTCAACCATTCCATCTATGTTTGACTTAATATTGTTTGAGTTTAGATAATGAAACACGCGCCATCTGCTTACAAGAGAACTATCTCACGTGGCACCAGCCATTTTAGCTCATATGGAACCAACAGGCAAGTCTCAGTAGGAATAGCAAAAGTGTAAAAGAATTCGTCTCCATTGTCCTTTGGCTCTGAGTTATGATTGGTGCATAGAATTTTTGATCGAAATTCTGTCATTTGATTTTTTAGGAACTATCTACTAATGAGTCGAGACTTGCCTTCGGATTCAATATGAACTCTAACAACGGATGTCAGTTGAAGTAGTTCCCTCGTTATTATTTCTCTTGACATCTTTTAACTACTATGTTGTTCATTATTTACTGTGGATTTTCTTTGGTGAGTCCAAATTCTTGACGATATTCGTTGTAAAGATTGAATGCTTTAGCAAACAAATCACAGCAACGACCTGTTCCTTCCAAAAACACAGCTGGTATGCTATTTTCAACGACGGCTTCATGAACTATAGAAAACGAAAAAAGAAAAATCAGTTTTCTTGTTTTCTTTCGCGAACAAGTAACATTGTGTACCTGTTCGAACAGTATTTGGACCACCTTCAACAACAAGAAGAACAACAGGTATTGGATCTATGACAAAATGAATGTAGTCATTTAAAAGATGAAAATTTCATATCAACCTGATGGCTCTGGGCGTGACGTTGGTGTTGGTGTTAAACTTGGCCTGGTCATCTTAGGAGCTACTTTAGATAGTGATGCAAAAAAATCTCCGGATATAGCTTTTTCAAGACGAGCACGAAATGATATTTCACGACCATATTTTCGATCACTTCCATCATCAATAAAAATAAATTCAGTGTGATTAGGTTCGAGAGGAGCTACGCCTTTTCCTTCACTAGCCGGTTTATGATAAGACACATTTTCTCCATGACCATCGAGTTGTTGAACACCGGCTATACAACCCCAAGTAGAAATACCCTATTATAAATGATTGATTAAGAATACATAATTGAATTTGAAAAAATTTCATTTACGATTAAATGAATTGGACGACAACGACTAGGATATATTTGAACAATTTCACCAACAAGTTTCATAATTCCTGTATTCATACCACCAGTAATAATCCAAGCACCTAAAAATGAGAAAAAAAATGAAGTTTTTTAGAATATAAAGTAAATGGAAGCATTTCCTAATTAAATTAATCAAGATTATTTTGTTTTGATCATCTTCAAACAAATAGACTTTCCCTTGAAAAACAAAAAAAAAAAATGATAGATGTTTTCACTAGCATTAGGGTGAGCTTTTTTTATATACTAATTGAGAAAAATTTTCTCAACTTCATTCTGTTCTATCCTGTGGTAGGGTAATTTTACATATCTCTAACTTTTTCGTTTTACTTTTCCTTTATTTACATTTAGAGTTAGAAAAAAGTGAAAATTAATCTTGGTATTGCCACCACTTGAAAGTACAGATGTGAGGATAGGTCATGGTCACGGTCATATGACTGTAACCAATAATGATTTATTAAGTCAATCAAAAAAAGAAGCATATCTTGCAGCAGCAGATTTAGAGGGGATTGTTCTTCATTTCCAAAATATTTTTCGATTTTTCGCAATAGTAAATGCTCATAAATAAGCCTATACGACCTCTTATAAATTTCAAAATGTATTTTTCTCATCATGATCCTTCTGTCTCAAAAATCCGAAATTAACCTTAATTAAAATCAACAATAAACAAACTATGATATAAAAAGAACAAGATTATTTAATATAAATCATAGCTTTACTATTATTCTAATGATCACTTGCTTTCTTTTTTTGCATTTTCACAGTCATTACTTAAGAAATCATATTCATCTACTTCATTAAGTTTGCCTTAGTTGGAACTATAATCTTCGTCATTATCTTTATGTTTATCATTAGATTTTCTTTTTGACTGATATGTAGAGATCTTCGAATTGGGAAACAATACTGAACAGAAATTTTTGAAAGTAATTTGAAGAAAAAAATGATTCAATTTCATTACCTGTTGAACTTGTCACTTTTAGAAGACCACGTCGAAATGCTCTCAATAATCTGGGTTTCATATTATAAGCTTTTGCACCACCAGTTACGGAAATAACAAGTGATGGTCGCTGTAAAACAAAAATCAGCCATTAGACTACATTATTTAAAAAAAAAGAAAAGTAAAACATACTTCCTTACACCATTTTGCATGCATTAATTCTTTAACTTTCGTAACACTAGCATCCGGTGGTATACGAATAAATTCTGCTCGATTCGATTTATTATCCGCAACTTAAACAAAATAAAAAAGAATAGAAAAATTGCTCCCGTTTATTATTCAGATAGGCTTATTTGTCGCAGCGGCGGCTTTAGATGGCAGAGACATTGAGGCCAATCGCTGGCGTTCCAAATTCATGTCGAGAAATCTTTAGTTTTTTATTGTTGAGGTTCAAGACTTCAGTAATCTCAAAATCGATTTCAATTTTCGCATCTATATAAAGTCCATCGAACTCTACGGATCGTTCCTTCCCTGACGAAGTATTTCTCGATTTTTCTTTACAAGGAAAGATCCCGAATTGATCTAGGCCGTTTCCAATATTATTTTATGCATACGTTGGAGACATGATTCTAAGAAAAGTCCTAAGAGGATTTGGACTGATAAAGCTTCTTTCGAAAGTTATGACCAATTTCTTGATTTTTTGACTTAACACAAAGTATTTACAGAAATGTTGAAAATCAGAATTTTAGACTGAAATTCGTCTTCTGAGTAATTCCCATAAACATCTTACGCTAATAAGGAAACCTCTTCAGTTGCTTTCTTCCCATTTCAATAATTTGAGTCTTTATTGAGGCATCCATAAAAAATCTCACAAGTTTTCAGTAAAGCCTGTTTGAGATATGAAATTTTCACGATATAGATCTTATCATATAAATACTTTATATAACATGCATTTTTTTAAAAGACTCATATCTCGAAGAGGCTTTGCTCAAAACTCATTAATCCTTTTACGGAAGCTAGTCTAGTTGATTTCTCTATATGCACAATATTTAAGATCAAAATTCAAAAATATGAGTTTTCCGAAAATCTGGGCTCCTGCACGGACTCACAAAAATACATATGTTAAAAATTTGATAGCTTATTCAAATCTCAATGAGAGCTCAAATTATTTTTGGGTTTTTATTAGAACACTATGTAGAATCGGTAACTTCCATTTTCGCCGAAATTTTGTTTTCACCGACGTCCACTTTCACCGAATTCCATTCTCGTCGAACTCCATTTTCGCCGATTTCAATATCGCCAACTAGTTTTTTTTTAACGAAAATTACCAAGTCAAATACGAATCATTCTATATTAAGAGTTTTTTTCCAATTTAATAGGTTTGTTAACAAACTCATTAATTACTAACTGAGTTGGTAACCACCTGACTTGGCGACTAAGTCGGTTAAAAAGGGTGTGGATTTGGGTACAGGATTATACGAGTACCCACATACCCACACCCTATTTTACGTAAAAATTAAGACAGATGAAACCTTCATCTGGTGGCACCTGTTTTTAACCGACTAATCATCAAGTCAGATGGTTACCAGCTCAGTTGATAATTAATGAGTTTGTTAATAAACCCATTCAATTGGAAAAAACGCTTAATATAGAATGATTCATATTTGTCTTGGTAATTTTCGGTCAAAAGAATTAATCAGCGATATTGGAATCGGCAAAAATGGAATAATTCTTAGAATCTATAGACAAAAAAATCATTGAAATCGAAAAGGAACAAATGCAGTAGTTTCCTTGTTAGCCGTCAAAACTAATAAAATGATCATATCTTTCAAAAGAAACTTCATAAGTCCAAAGCTTCTTAGGATTATTCCTATAATAATGTCCACGTCACCATCATAAAATAACATTGAAAACAGTTTGTATTAATTAAATATCTTCCTGTGTCAGTAGGAAAAAAACAAAAGATAAATCGAAGCAATCTCTAATGAACTTCAAAACACGTTTTGTTGATCATGATCGTTCCTCCTTCTTAACATTCTCGGTTCGTCATTAATTTATCTTACAAGTAATTGTCCCATGAGATTTAGTACCAATCGAATTGAATAACTATGTAAAAAGAAAACACAAAACTAGAAAAGGTTTTTTTTTAGATCTTTTTCTTACTTGATTATTCTTTCTATCAGGATCATCAGGTACAAAATTACTGAATATTCTATTGACATTTTGAAAAAGACAGTTTGGCGTCAGTTGCCGATATGAAGTTGAATTGTTTAGACTGTCCATATGCGTTTTGCTTGCACTTGTGTTAGTTTTTCTGGTTCGCTTCACTGGTCTAGCGATTATTAAAGACTCATCATATAAAAGGAAGGTAGGCGAAACAGTTAACCAATCAGTGAATCGTTTTGCATACGTATACACGAATCACCATCGATTCATATGATTCATTCAACTGATAGAAAAGAAGAAGAAAAAAGGAAATGAACGTTTGTTTTTCATAATATTCATTTCGTCTATTCTTGTACATTAACAATGAGTTCATCAACAACAAAAAACTTTCGTGAAGTCATGGCTGAACTACTCAGTGATGAAAATATTCGAGATGTTCCTAGTATAGGTGGTGTTCTTGGTGCAAAATTATCTGAAGCTGGCTATGAAAAAGTTTATTTACATAGAGAATTTTTTATTCGATTAGAATAGTTGTTTTTCTTTTATTTACCTTTAGGTATATACTTTATTTGGTAAATTCTTATTATACCATAAAGATGTTGAAGAATTTCGAGCTTGGATTCAAACACAATGTGGAGCAAATAGTCATCAAGCAAAAGCAGCAACACAAGCATTATTCGAATGGGTTGAAGCATTTATTTGAGAACATGTTTTTCTTTTTTTATATTATACATAGAAAAAAAAAGATTTGTGGATTTATTTTTACTTTCTTTATTTCTTGCTTATGTAATTCTAGATTTTTTAATTATGTCATCGACAACATCATAGAAATTTCGAGATTTTACTGGTGAACTATTAAAAGATAAACATGTTAGTGAAGTACCTGGCTTAGGACCAAAATTATCAAGTAATTTAGCAGAATCTGGTATTACAAAAGTATGTTTATAATAAACAGAAATAATTGAACAGTTCGACAATAATAATAAATGATATATAGATACGTATACAATTATTGAGAATAAATTTTTATGAAAATTTCAGATTTTTTGCTTACACCTATTCTGAAACAAGTAACGCGGCGCGATCGTCACTTACCCTCTACTGAAAGGATTTAGGCTCGTTCATAATGTAAGATAAGAAGAGGGATGCTTGACGATAGATGTTAACATATACATGGCGAACAGCAACATGAAATATGGCCAGCTTAGTAACAATGTTACTAGGTTGAGTAAAACAAGTTACTACTATGTAGTTAGCGTTAATAGTAACTTAATAGTGACTATTGATCTAGATGTGTCTGAATACAAGACTCATTCTGCAGGGTTGGCCTGACCAAGGTTTCTTGTTGCTGTGACAAATCGCCAATTTTTAAGAGTTTACTTTGCACGTAACGAAAACCTCACGAAAAATAGCCATTACGTCATACTCACGCCCGACGTGTTATGATCCGTGTTAACATACAAGATCATATTATTCTTTTTATATATCTTCTTCGTGTTCTCTTCTCTTTATTCACCTCTTTGTCTTTTCCTTATTCTACTCTTCTCTTCTCTTAATTTTTTTTTGTCTTTTATTTATGAGTAGTGCGTCTTTCAGTAGTTTTCAGTTGGTGTGTAAAATTTTTATGTGTGTATCTTGAACCTGCAATAAAACAAGTTCTAAAACAACCAGAAGTAAACATACAACTTAACACCACGTTAATGTCTTAAATTTACTGTTTACAACTATGAATGATAAGAACAGTAGATATTATTTATGCTTTTCTTCGTTCACGAACACAGTTTCTTCAAGAAAATAACTCAATTACTATATACTCTACTTATAGTGAAAAATTACATTCACAACCCTCAAGGTTTCATTGGTCGACCAGCCCTGAATATTCAAAAATCGAATAATAACTGTTTCTAACTTGCAAAAGAAACTTTCAACGATACTACAATCAAGACTTAGAGGGATGAATATCATTTCTAGATAATAATACCAGTACTTACGAACTTATTGATGAACGCAGGAAAACGAAAACGACGACTATTATGGGTGATAAAACACCTATTTTTAAATCGGAAAAATTAAATTAGCAAATATGTGCATAAAATATTAATGGCTAATTTGGTATGTCTCAACGACATACCGCTTCTTTTATTCATTTTCGATTTTGCATAGTCCGTATACGACTTCTGTTATAGCTCCTGTGTATAGCTCTATACGTCCTATTTCATGTAGAAACGATCAAATCTTGATGTTTTAAATATAGTTTCGGAAAAGTCAAGAAAGTAATACAATCATAATGGTCATCTGATAAAAATGCATATGCACTCAACAGTTTATGAAATGATCGAAGCATTTAGTTGTGTTAACTTATTTCGACATCGAATAATTTATATTGGATTGTGATACGTTTATTACTAATTCTTCTATTCACTTTTTCAATTTCTCCTTCAAGAATATACCGTTTTCTTGTGCATTTTTTTAAGGCATCTACTTTTCATCGTACAATCTTATGCTATTAGAAAGTCAAGTTTCATTAATGTGCAGCACTGTCTTTTAAACATCCTACTGTAGCTATTCTTGATGAAAATGAAGCAAATTTCATTAAAAAGTTCGATTTTTATCAATCTGATAGCTTTTTTCTCGTCTCTATGCTCTAGCTGATTATTTGTTAAAAGTATTGCTGATAGCCTCATTTGAACAGCAAAAATCCAAATAACAATACTACAGAATTTTTCAATCGTATTTATTAGTGTAATACATTGTTTTTCGTAGCTTTTTATTCGAACAATATATTATAACCATCCCTTAGAGGTCTGATGTTCGACCTTTTCTTTCTTTATTTCAAAATCAGAAAAAATGTCCGCACACAAACATATAGATATATTTCTATCTGTCCTCAACTTAAAAGAGAAAAAAAACATACATATACAGTATTCGACAAAATTTTTTGGACGATTTTCTTTTGAGTATAACCCATGAGATGAAAACCGGGCAAAAACCGCCGGTTAACCGTTTCTTTTTAATGGTGAACCGCGGTTTACCCCTAAAACTCATCTGGTTTTTGTGACATGAGAACTGTCTTATTAATTTAGCTTTTCAGGCATAGCTTCTGTGGAAATTTCAAGCATCGCCTATACTACATTCACAGAAAATTTCCCCCCTAAATATTGAGTAATCGTGGAACTGAACGTATAACAGTGAGTAGCTGTCACTTTCTGTTTGACGATTTTATTTGGACGATGCTTTAACTTGAGTTATTTTTTCCACAAATGTTTGAGAAGAACTAAATCTATATCAATGGAAAAGTGAGAAGACAAGCTACATTTTGATTACTAAAACTTTC